GGGGGGGAGACTCTGGATTTATCTGAAACAAGTAAACAATTCCTGGAAGGACTGGGAGAGGCGGGGGCGGGTTCCGAGAACCGTGTGCAGCGGCCGAGGCGTCGTCGGGCAGCGGCGGACTCTGCCCTGGTCACTCGCGGGAGCCGCTGGGTAAACGGCGTGGGGGAGGGTGCCCGGCCTGCCCCCGGGCGTCCCCTTGGCTCTGTCCCGGGGGCCGGGTCCTGGGGCCACTCGAGCGCAGATCGGGGCCTGAGGCTGCGCTGATCTGGCAGCGTCCTGGCAGCCGGACCCGGCCTCTGCCAACCTCCGGGGTTGCCCTGGAACCAAACCAGAGTCGGCCGTGGGAGACAGTCTGCCAGCCACGGCACGTCCCCGCCGGCGCCTGCCACCTGGGAGGCCCCCGGACACGCGCCCACGACGCCCTGAAGGCAGCCCAGGCCTGGCGAGGTGACGGGGAGCCTGCCGAAGCCTGTGTCCTGAGCGCTGGCCGTCGGGGCAGCCAGATCCTTTGCCTGTGCTGGAGCCACGGTGAGCTGGGAGCAGCGGTCTCCGCCCAGCGAGCGGGCTGCCCGCGACTCTCAGCTGGCTCTCCCCAGCCTCCGTCGCGTGGGGCGGCGGTGGTTCATCCGGGCCTCCCGTCCCCTCGGAGCCTCCTTTCCACACCCCCCGTTTTCCAGCCCCGAAGTGCCCGGCCGTCCGCGTCGCTGCTGGTTGCTCTCAAAGCGATTCAGAAATTCTCAAAGCTGGGGCCCCTGGGTGGCTCCGTGGGTCGAGCACCCGGCTCTTGACTTCGGCTCAGGTCATCATCCCGTGGTTCGTGGGATCGCGCCCCGCGTCAGGCTCTGTGCTGACAGCTCGGAGCCCGGAGCCCGCTTCGGATTCTGTGTCTTCCTCTCTCTCTGCCCCTCCCCTTCTCACACTGTGTCTCTCTGTCTCTCAATAATAAATAAACGTTAAAAAAAGTTTTTTTCAAAAAAAGAATTTTTCAAAGCAAAAGACCTAAATACGCTTTAATTTTTAAAATTCAATATGTGCCATGCCACATTTAGGAGAAAGAGATGAGTGTCCTACATAATGTCAGATTTTTCTGAGTCCCAACCGGGAAGGTTGGGAATAACTGACATTTGTGATTGAAAACTGCTTGCTGCTCCCCCTGATCCAGGGGTTTAGAGCCATCAGAGGGTTCCAGAGTTGCCAACAGAATCGCAGGCAGGATGTGCCCCCCACCCGGAGCTCAGCCTGTCCCCCAAGGGCTCACCAGGACAGGCACTGAAAGGAGGGAAGGGTGTCCAGGAGGGCTCGTGGCTGTCAAGGACCCGCAGTGATTTAATGACAATGGCACCCGATGGCTCCCACGGGCAGCGCTTACCGTGGGCCCGGCGCTGGCCTGAGGACTTCCCACATGCGAAATCACAGTTCATTTTCAGTTCTGAAATCCACCGGGAGGAAACGCTGGCCCTCTGTAGGAGTCCCAGCGAGCCTGGTGGGGAGGGGAGGCATCCACTTCCTGATCAGGGCTGTTTGTGGATGTGCGGGTGTGGTTGGCCTTTGCGCACATAGGCATTTCTGCCTCTTTCCCCTTGCAAAGAATGCAGGCCGTGCGAGTATCTAAAGCACGCGGGAGCCACGGTGCCATGGCGTGATGGTGCCTGGTGGCTGTAATCACCCAGAGCTCGGCCTCCTCTCGGGCCCCCTCTGAGAACAGTGGACGTAGAGGCCTGAGTTGGGCTGACACATAGCTGTTAACAGAAACCAGAACACCCGTGTCCCCCCCCGGGACTGAACCAGAGATGGGAAGGTACAGGATGAGGGGACAAACATCTTTACTAGTGCTTTTGGGCTGGACATTCGATTTAGGCATTAAAATCCAGAAACACTCAAAGGATACGATGTCGAGAGTCCAAAGGAAAAAGGAAATTGCTCCTTAACTTTTCTATTCCATTCTATCATATTTTTTTTATCAAGCTTTTTATTTTTATTTTTTTGAGAGAGAGTGTGTGTGGGGGGGTGTGCATTTGATCAAGGGAGGGACAAAGGGAGAGAGAGAAAGAGAGAGAGAGAGAGTGAGAGAGAGAGAATCTTAAGCAGACTCCATGCTGAGCGCGGGGCTCAGTCTCAAACCTTGAGCTCGTGACCTGAGCCGAAATCGGAAGTCAGATGCTTAACCGACTGAGCCACCCAGGCTTCCCTTGGCTTTTTATTTTATTTTAATTTTCCTTAATGTTTATTTATTTTGAGACAATGTGAGAGACAGAGCACAAGCGGGGGAGGGGCAGACAGAGGGAGACACAGAATCCGAAGCAGGCTCCAGGCTCTGAGCCATTAGCACAGAGCCCGATGCGGGGCTCGAATTCACAAACCGCGAGATCATGACCTGAGCCAAAGTCAGATGCTTAACTGACTGAGTCACCCAGGCACCCCAGCTTTTTATTTTTAAATAATTATAGAATAGTACACAGTTGTAAGGAAAGGTACAAGAGAGCCCACGTACCTCTTACGCGTTTTCCCCTGCGGTAACATTTTTGAAAACACAGTAAGATGTCACAGCCGCGCCCGGTCGATACAGTCCAGATGCACAACATTTCATCCCCACCAAGATTCTTCCTCTTTAATCCCTGACAGTCACGGTGTCCCCGTGTCCGTGGTGTTGCCATTTCAAGAGCGTTCTATAAATGTAGTCACTCGGTAGGTACCTCTGGGGATTGGCTTCTTTTACTCAACATAATTCTCTGGAGATCCATCTGGGTTGTTGTGCGGATCACTAGTGTGTTCAGTTGTTTTTCATAGCCCAGTTTGGGGCTGTTACAAACAAAGCTGCCGGGACCGTCGTGTGCAGGTTTTCGTGTGGCCGTAAATTTTCATTTCTCTGCCCCGGGGAGCAATTGCTCAATTGTACGGTGCATGCATATTTAGTTTTTTCAGGAAGCTGCCAAACCATTTCCCAGAGCGGTTGCACCGTTTTGCATTCCCTTCAGCAAGGTGTGAGTAATCCATTTCTCCCCATCGTTACCAACACTTGGGGTTGTCATCGGTTTTTTTTTGTTGTTGTTTTTTTTTTTTTTTAGCCTTTTTGACAAGTACGCCGTGACATTTCACTGTGGTTTTAATTTGCGTTTCCTAATGGCTAACGACGCCTACACTTGTGCTCCCTCTGTGTTTGCTTCAGGAAAACGTCTGCTCGTGTCTCCTGCCCATTTCAGATTGGGCTGTTCTGTTTTTGACCGTTAAGGGGTTTTGAGGGTAGGGGGTTGTCTGCAAAGTTTATTTCACAGGGCTTACTTGGAGTTTTGATGGCTCTTTTCACGTTCTGCATTCAAGTCTCTGTCGAGTGGACTTTGCGAAGTATTTCCTCCCAGACTGTAGCCTGTCCTTTCGTTGTCGGTTTCCCAGTCCCGCTCATGGCCAGAGCTTTACTTCTTTTTTTTACCTATTTTATTTTATTTTATTTTATTTTATTTTATTTTATTTACTTTTAGTGTGTATTTATTTTTGAGACAGAGAGGCAGAGTGTGTGTGGGGAAGGGGCAGAGAGAGAGGGAGACACAGAATCCAAAGCAGGCTCCAGGCTCTGAGCTGTCAGCCCGACGCGGGGCTTGAACTCACGCACCGTGAGATCGTGACCTGAGCCGAAGTCAGACGCTTAACTGACCGAGCCACCCAGGCGCCCCAAAGAGCTTTACTTCTGACGAAGATCACTTTGTCCATTTTCCCTTTTATGGATCGTATTTGAAGCGTCAAGTCCAAGAACTCTGCCTCCCTCAGGAACCTGGAGATTGTCTCTATTTTTTCCTAACAGCTTTATAGTTTTCTATGTTCCATCCACGGTCCATTTCACGTTAATTTTTACATAAACTGTGAGGTTTAGATCAAGTCTCATTTCCCTGCCTGTGAGTGTTCAACTGCTCCAGCACCATTTGTTGAAAAGATGGTCTTTCCTGCATTGGATTGCTTTTACACGCTGGTCAGAATCAGTTGGGCATATTTGTGTGGGTATAACTCTGGGTTCTCTGCTCTGTTGCACCGATATCTGCGTCTACCCCTCCGCTCGTATCACACGGCCGTGATTAGTATCACCGTACACGGAGCATACCTCGTTTTCTTGTGCTCCATTTCATTGTGCTTTGCAGATATTCTTTTTTTTTTTTTTTTTTTTACAAATTGAAGGTTTGCATCAAGCAAGTCTGGTGGCACTACTTTTCCAACAGCCTTTGCTCACTGCATGTCTCTGTCACGTTTCAGTCATTCTTGGAATAGCTCAGGCTCTTCCATTTTTATTGTATTTGAACGGCTGCCATCTCATGATAAAATTGTAACGGATGAGGAGTTGCTTGTTAGGGATGAGCAAAGAAAGTGGTTTCCCGAGGTGACATCTACTCTTGGTGAAGATGCTGCAAAGATTGTTGTCAACAAAGGATTCAGAATAGTACCTAAAATTCATTGAAAAAGTAGCAGCAAGGTCTAAGAGGACTAACTCCAGTTTTGAAAGGAGTCCTACTGTGGGCAAAATGCTTTCAGACTGCATTGCCTATCAAGAGAAACCTTCGCGAAAGAAAGACCCACAGCCTGATCAGTCAGCGATCGTCCATATTGAGGCAGAACCCTCCACCAGCAAAAGGATTGGGACTCACTGAAAGCTTAGATGATAGTTAGCATTTTTTAACAAAAAAGTACTTTTGGAATTGAGGTATGTACATTTTTTGGACATAATGCTATTACACACCTAACACACTGCAGTGCAATATAAACATAACTTTTACACACTAGAAAACCAAACAGTTCATTCTGACTCAGTTTATCGTGATGTTCAAGTTCGTTGAACCCAAACGTACGATATCTCTGAGGTCTGCCTGTCATAGGTCTTAAACTCAGATAGACTGATTCAGTACACTTTATCTTCTTTTTAAAAACAGTTTTAAGTCTTCTAATTCCTTTGCATTTTCACATAAAAGTCAGAATCGGGGCGCCCGGGTGGCTCATTCAGTTAAGCGTCTGACTCTTGATTTCGGCTCAGGTCATGATCTCACAGTTCTGGGATCAAGCCCCACATCGGATTCCGCATTGGCATCGAGGAACCTGCTTGGGATTCTCTCTCCCTCTCTCTCTCTGCTCCTCCCCCACTCACACACTCCTTCTCTCCTTCTCTCTCTCTCTCTCTCAAAATAAATAAATAAATTTTTAAAAAGAATAATTGTGTCTATTTCTACAAAAATCTTGCTGGAGTTTTGACAAGAATTATGTTAAACCCATTTATGAGTTTGGGGAAAATTGACATCTTTACTATATGGAACCTTCCAAACCATGAACATGGTATGTCTCTCCCTTTATTTAGATCTCTTTTTATTTCTTTCATCAGTGTTTTGTAGTTTTCATCATACAACTTCTGCCTATGTTCTGTTATATTTATACACAAGTTTTGGGGTTTTTTTTCTTTAGTGTTTATACAGTGGTATGGTGATTCTAATTTTGGTATCTACATGGTCATTGCTATGTATGTAAATACAATTTTGTATATTTATCTCCTATTCTGTGACCTTGCTGAACTCATTTATTAGTTCTAAGAGAGTTTTTTGTAAATGCCTTGGAATTTCTGGTGTAGACAATCATGTCATTGGCAAATGGGGACAGCTTCGTTTCTTCATTTCTGATCTGCTTTGCTTTTTCTTGCCTTGTTGCACTGGCTAGAACTTTTAGCACTGTGTTTAATGACAATATTAAGAGTAGACATCCCTGCCGTGTCACGGTTTAAGCAAGAAGCAGTCAGTCTTTCACCATTAAGTGTAATGTCAGCTGTAGGTTTTTGGTAGATGTTCTTTACCAACTTAAAGTTCTCCTCTATCCCTGCTTTTCTGAGTTTTTTTTTTTTTTAATGTTTATGTATTTTTGAGAGAGAGAAAGGGAAAGAAGGAGAGGGCCCAAAAGAGAGGGAGACACAGAATCAGAAGCAGGCTCCAGGCTCTGAGCTGTCAGCACAGAGCCCGATGCAGGGCTGGAATCCACAAACTGTCAGATCATGACCTGAGCCAAAGTCGGACGCTTTACCGACTGGGCCACCCAGGTGCCCCTTATGAGAGTTTTATCAAAGGAACAGATGTTAAATAGTTTTTCAAATGTTTTTTTCTGAATTGATAGATCATGTGTTTTTTTCTTTAGCTGTTAATAAAGTAGATTGTTGGGACGCCTGGGTGGCGCAGTCGGTTAAGCGTCCGACTTCAGCCAGGTCACGATCTCGCGGTCCGTGAGTTCGAGCCCCGCGTCGGGCTCTGGGCTGATGGCTCGGAGCCTGGAGCCTGTTTCCGATTCTGTGTCTCCCTCTTTCTCTGCCCCTCCCCTGCTCGCTCTCTCTCTCTCTCTCTCTCTCAAAAATAATAAATATTAAAAAAAAATTAGAAATGTGTTCATTCTTCTTCAAATGTTTGGTAGAATTCTCCAGTGAAACCATCTGCCCCTGGAAATTTCTTTGGGTAGAGTTTTAAAAGTAGAAATTCACTTTCCTTATTAGTTATAGGCTGTTCAAATTACCTGTTTTATATTGGGTGAGTATAGTCATTCATGCTTGTTAAAGAGTTGCTTCATTTTCCTCTAAGATTTCAAATTTGTGTGTGTCAAGTCCCTTATCCTTCAGGATTTGTAGCCGTATCCCCTCCCTCCTCTTCCTAATATTGCAAATCCGCGTCTTCTCTGTGTGTTATTTTTGTCAATCTTGCTAGAGATTTGGCAACTTGTTGATACTTTTAAATAACCAGCGCTTGGCTTCATTGACTTTCTGCCTTGTTTTACTAGTTGGTTTTTTTCGCCACTGATTTCTTTTATTACTTCCTTTCTTCTGCTATTGTGGTGGGTTCATTTTGCCCCTCTTTTTCTAGGCCGTTGGATTAGAGTCGAGTCTTTCCTCTCTTCTAATGTAAGCATTTAGTGCTATAAATGTCCCTCTCAGCACTGCATTAGCTATGTCTCACAGCTAAATTTGGATATATATTGCATTTTCATTTTCATTCAGTTCAAGGTCTCTTTTGTTTCCTTTGAGACTTCCTCGTTGACCCCTGAATCACTTAGGAGCGTATTGTTTCATTTCCAAGTGTTTGAAGATTCTCCTACGATTTCTGTTACCGACATCTGGCTGGATTCTCTTATGGTCAGAGACCATACTCTGCATGGTTTCAATTCTTTTAAATATTTTGAGGTTTCTGTGTGGTCTGTCTTAGTGTGTGCTTCCTAGGCATCTGAAAAAAACACGTGTTCTGCTGTTGTTAGGCGGTGTGGTCTATAAATATCGATTGGTTGATAGACTTCTAAATTTATCTCAAGACCTCGAGATCATTAACCTTCGAAGGCTCTGTGCGACACCATTTTCGCCAAAGATTTCGGAGTGATTTAAAATCCCGCTGAGTCCACCAAGGAGGCCTGTGAAGCTTTCTCACCGGTGGCTCTTGCTGGTAGAGTCGCTGTGTCTCTCCCCTGGGGTAGGAGTAGGCTCCCTGCAGGACAGGGCCCCGGATCAGCCAGCAGCTCCACCAAGGGCTCTCTTAAAGTTTCCTGGATGACGTTTTCACTCCTCTAACAGTGTCTTTTTTTTTTTTTTTTTTTTTTTTGAGACAGAGAGAGACAGAGTATGAGCAGGGGAGGGGCAGAGAGAGAGGGAGACAGAGAATCTGAAGCAGGCTCCAGGCTCTGAGCCATCAGCACAGAGCCCGATGCGGGGCTCAAACTCACAAACCGTGAGATCATGACCTGAGCAGAAGTCGGACGCTCCACCGACTGAGTCACCCAGGCGCCCCATACGGTTTCAAAAGATTTAACAAAACATCGTTTTTCTTCTTCTCATCGGGTCTCAGAATGCTAATGCCACAGAGAACCTTGGTCCATCACCCTTGCATTCGGCAGGTGAAGGGATGAGAGGTCTCAAGAGGCTAATCTAGATTGTTTTTTAAATGCTTTTTGTGAAATTAACGTGCGTTCATTATAGAAATATATTAGATCTAGAGAAACAAAAGGAAGAAAAAAGTGCACATATAATCTCACAACCAACGTGTCTCCTCCCAATGTCTTCAAAAATCAGAGCCCACGTTTGCATTACTGGTTTGCAATGTCTCTCTCTCTTTTTCTTTAACCACAGATATGAACGTTTTCCAAAATATTATTTCTGATAGCAGACTATTTCCACAGGACAGGTGGGCCATCATTTACTTAATGTCCATTTGATGGGCACTTGGGCTTTTAGAGTCCCCGCTAAGTTCAGTAACACTGTGATGAATGCCTTCTGTGTACATGCGTAGGTTCCTTCCTAAAAATGGAGACTGCAGATCAGAACGTGGGAACGGGAGCTTTTTTTTTTTTTTTTTTTTTTTTTTGTGGCTTTAGCACCCCACTGCCAAACCGGATAATTGAGATTTCGTGTTTGTCTGGGCAGGTTTGGTTTGCTTTTCATTCGTTTTGGTTTTAGGCATAGAGCCAGCAGAGATTACGTGGCTCAGGAGTAAGTCCTGTGCGGGTTCTCGGCGTTTTAGGGCGTGGACGAACAGCCACCTGAGGCCAAGGCGAGCGAGCCGTCCCCCTTCCCAGGAGAGAGGGTGCTGGAAAGAACAGTGCCGTGAGCGTCTGTGCCTTCCTATGAGGCACCTGGCGCTGAGCCCAGTCAGGAAACAGGAAAGCTGGCAGGTTATATTCAGCCCGGGACCGGGACCTTGTAAAACCATCACGCGGCCCAGGTTTACGTGCAGGAACAAACTCGCTCACCCTGGCCCACTTCCTCTTGCCAGGACCCACCATGAGAACGCCGTGTTTTACGTTTGGAGCATGCCTTGAACTTGCTTTGTCCTAGTAATTGCCCCCATAAAATGGAGCGGGGCACTAAGTGAAAACTTCCCGTATTTAGAGACCCAGTCCTGCCTGCTTTTTATGACTCGTGCTGACTCCGGCAGGACCAGCTCTGCCAAGAGGCCACTTACACGCAGGTTGGCGGGAGCAAGACAGGAGGGAAGAACGTCTGAAGGTGGACGGGAAGACCCCAGGCCCTGGGGAGGCCCCGCGTGCTGACCGTGGGCCGGAGCGTGCCCCCCCCCCCCCCCCCCCCAGGTAGCCCAGGCTGCTCCCTGCCCCGGTGTCACCGTCACCCGCCACGACATCCCAATTCAGGCCACAGCGGTCCATGGACTTCTCCCTTTCTCCATCTGCCTTTCTCTTTTGGTCTGCAGAAAAAGAAGAATTAATCCAGAGCATGCTGACCCAGGTCGTAGAGCAGTTCTCAAGGTACAGAATCTTCTAGACACATAGTCTCTGCAGAGGTATGCTTTTCTGCTCACGGCAATGGTGGGGCCTCGCTTGGAGGCCGTGCTGGCCGGCAAGGCTCCGGCACATCGCTCACCCGGAGGGGCGGCCTTCCAGGGGGAGTCCTTGCATGACCCCCTGTAGCTGAGCCAGCACGGGTGGGACCCAGGAAGCGCTCGCCGTATACCAAAGAGCAGGGCCGCTGGGCGCTGGGAGCGTGAGAGCTCATGCTGCTGACAGGTCTCTCCACCGGCTCTCCTGGGCTTCAGAGGTCAACCTACAAGAACTGACACCATTTTTGTTTTATTCACTTATTTTTTATTTTTTTTAATGTTTATTTTTGAGGGAGAGAGAGACGGAGTGTGAGTGGGGGTAGGGGGGAGGGGGCAGAGAGAGGGAGACACAGAACCCGAGGCAGGCTCCAGGCTCCGTGCTGTGAGCACAGAGCCCGACGCGGGGCTCGAACCCACGAACTGCGAGATCACGACCGGAGCCCAAATTGGACGCTTAACCGACCGAGCCACCCCGGCGTCCCTTATTTATTTATTTTTAAATGTTTTATTTATTTTGAGAGAGCACAGGGAAGGGGCAGAGAGAAAGGGAGAAAGAGAATCCCAAGCAGGGTCCACACTGCCAGCACAGAGCCTGACGTGGGGCTCGAGCCCACGAACCGTGAGATCATGACCTGAGCTGAAATCCGGCGTCGGGCGCTTGACCAACTGAGCCACTCGGACACCCTGAAATGACACCACTTTGAAAATGGGCCTGAAAACAAGCATTGCCACGGAGACCCTGTGTAGACATGGGCTTCCTCCCGCTCCGAGTTGTCCTGCCCGTCCCGAAGTGATGCTTTCCGCCCTTGGTTATTTCGAGGTGGCATCTTGCCGTCCGGGGGCATGTGGGTGACACGCCCTCAAAGCCCAGGCATTGCCGCGCCAAACAGGCTGGGCCCGGAAGGGACGCGGCGGGTTTGTGAAGGGGTCTCTGCCCGGCCAAGCAGGGTGCAGGGCGAGGGCCGTCCCCGCCCAGGTGTGGGGACATGAACACACCCCGTGCCTTCCGTCACGGAAGGACGTCAGCCGAGGGCGTCTTCCCCCCTCCGCCCGACCTTCAGACACCTTGAGCTCCTGGAGAGCAGCCCCTCGCCCCCCTGTGCCCCCTACAGGGGTGAGCCTGCCCGCGGGAGGGGTTCGGCAGGTGACCGCCAGGCCCATCGTAATTTTGAAGAGTTTAAGACTTATGTGTTGATTCGTTTTCATTCCCAGAGCGTTTAAGATCAACGAACTCAAAGCCGAAGTCGCGAATCACCTGGCCGTGCTCGAGAAGCGCGTCGAACGTGAGTGAGCTCCCTGCTTCTCTCTCCTTGTCCTTTAACCTCTGCTTAAATTAGCCACCTAACGGCCGGTGGTGAGCGGCGAGGGGAGTGAGGCGAGGCTGGAGGTGAGCGCCCGTGTCTTTGGTGCCCGGGCGAGAACAGTGAGCACTTCCTGTCGGAACGCGTGACACGGTCCACGTGCGCAGCGGCTCGGGCCACGGTACGTGTCCAGCAGCGGTGCGTGGCAGCGTGTCTGGGTCTGAAAGGGGCAGAACGAAACCGCGGAGTCCCCCAGACCAGCCCCCCAGAGACGAACTTGTGCTGAACATCTTTGTGCCTCTCTTTATGCAAACGAGGCCTGCCGACGCCCTCCCTGACGTCACGATTAGTTCTGGACCACGTGTCCATGTGTACCAAATCATCACCTCCTGCTCCCCAGTCACCACCAAGGCAGCAGAAAAACTACCCGGAAGCACAGGAGAGTGGGTTCGGGGCTTGACTCAGGGGCCAGGGTGCCCAGGCCTGCACCAGACCCCGCGCACCGGGAGAGCCGGCCCCGTGACACAAGGTTTATTAATGCCAGGTCGTGCCAGCGACCCAGAAGGCTCGAAGCTAAAAACCCAGGCTTTTCTCCGTGCCACTCGGGACGTGTGCTTTATGCGCATTCCGTACCAAAACCGTTGGGGGGAAACGTTGAAATGCAGCTCCAGTCATATGTGTCTTTAAGGAACTTTCGTTAGCTCTGGAGCCGAAGGAGGGCCCTGCCTCCCCAGCCTGTGCTGTTGCCTCTGCCCCGTGAGACCCCTTCCCCCCATGCCGGCACCCCGCCTAGAAGATCGTCCCCAGAGGCTCTCCTTCGAGGCACCCTGTGACTCGCAGAGGCGCCCTGGGGCTCCTGGAGGGGGTGGCCAGGCTTGCAGGGGGTGCTAACCACGAGTCAGGCAGCTGTGACCAGTTGGGGGCCAAAGCCGCTCCTCGTGGGTGGACTCCAGCATCCCTTCATGCTCTAGCTTGGGGTTCCGCTCTGTGCCCACCTATTGAAAGTGTGAGGGCGGACGGGTGAGGCCACACCGTCGAGGCCGGACATCCAGCCTCACTCGAGAGCCGTGGCCAGAGTGAGTGCAGGACTTTTAAGGGGTCCTGCACCGGGCCCTCTCCCTCCTGTGCAATGGGGGCAAAGTGAAGCTGGGACAGGCCAACCAGGTGAGCAGTGGAAGCTTCCAGAGGCAGCCCGGAAAGGACAGGGGCAGCAGACACGGGTGTGCTGATGCTGAGGGCCAGGCCCCCTCCTCCCATGTTCTGCCTTTAATCCCACGACCTGTTCTCCTCCCATTGATTAATGCACAACTTTGCCGTCTTGTCACTCACTCTCCATTTCCTTGGCAACCAGGCTCTTCATAAACGTAATCGCCATAAATTCTGAATCTCTGGGACTCAAATTAGTGATATCGTACTGTCTCGCCCAAAAGGCTTCGTTTGAGCGTCGCTCCCAGTAAATGGCCCCGAAACCTGATCCACGTGAAGCAATAGCCAATAATCGAACATTACGCCCCCACTGAGAGCTGCTAACGCGGGGCACGCCTTTAACTTACTCACGACAGTAAATAAGCAAGTGAGAAAACAGAACAAGCCGTTTGATCCCAATTTTGTCTTTTTAAAACTCCGGATGGACAGACAGCTGTGTCGATGCACGGGGCCGAGAGAGAAACCCCTGGAAAGGCACACGTCAAGAGATATTAAGTGGGTTGTCCTCGGGGCCCGTAGGACCATACATAAATTTTAAAACATTCTTTGAGATGCTCCGTATTTCCCCCGTTTTCTACAACAATCAGACGTAACCGTATCGAGAACATAGTAAGGAGAACCCGGGACTGTAAGTGGCAGGGTGCCACCACCCTGTTTGGACACCCCACTGCGTGGCTGTTCACTTTGGGGATCAAAGTCTGTGCAACATGCAGGGACTCTTCTCCAGATCTGTTCGCTTTCGGGAATTTTCTGCCACACGTCGCTGGGACGTGGCTTCCCCGAGGCTGAGCCTCCTGTGGTGTGGCCCAGGGCCTGGACGCGGCGCTCTGGGAGGTCCAGATGCAAACCGGAAGGGGTGCGCGCTGGCCTGCTTTGCCCAGAGGAGGACCCGCGGCTTCCGTCCACTTCCCAGTAGGGTCCCTGATGCGAGAAAGCGCTAAGAACGCCCCACTCCCAAAGGAGGGTGTGGGCTCTCGGTGAGAGAGTGGACCGTCCTCCAGCTCAGACTCTCTGCATCTCCCCACCTGGCTGCTGCCACCCAGCCCCTTGCACTGACGGCCCCGGGCTTCGGTCCCGCGTCCCCGGGCCTTGGTCTCACATCCCCGGGCCTCGGCCCGAGTCCCCGGGCCTTGGTCTCACATCCCCGGGCCTTGGTCCCAAGTCCCCGGGCCTCGGTCCTGCATCTCTGGGCCTCGGTCCCGTGTCCTCGGACTTCGGTCCCATGTCCCCCGGCTTCGGTCCCATATCGTCTTGGTGGAGCTTCGCACAACATCCCCCAAGTGGCGCAAGTCGCCGGAACCAGACCCGAATATCAGATCCTCCAGATTCCCACCACTCTGGGCAGAAAGAAGCAATACTTTCATGTAGCCTTGCCCCTGCGTGGCTCCTGGCCCCGGAAGCGTCTAGAAAACTGCCCGGGGATGCTCAGGGCTCCGGCAGGCTCTCTCCCCACACTTGCTTCAGAACGGCTCCGGAGGCCATGGGACGGAATTGTCTCTCCCCGTTGTGCGCTTAGGCGCTCAGACCACGTTTGAGGAAGAGGGGAATAGAGTAGCATCGTGGGTCCCGTCTTTTTGCAGAGAAACCGAGGTGCGATTACAGAGTAACGAGGCTAGTCCTTTCTGTTGCTCTCGAACTGATCTGATCTGAATGGCTCTCGGAAGGGAAGCCGCCTGCTTCGTGGCAGCCTTTCTGGGCTAAATGTGCACCTGCCAGAGCAAACGTCTCAAAGGTGAACGCTCCCTGGGAGGCACGAGCCCCAGTTCTTTCGGATCTTTCTCTGGTGCCCCGTGGTGTCCGGATGTGGCAGGCACTCCTGTGTGGCGGGGCTGCAGGAATGTGAGCCGGCCCGGCTCTGCTAACCCACGACCTGTCCTGTTTGCCTGCCCCCAGCCCCCGCCCCCGCACGTCCACACCCCTTCCTGGCTAACGGCTCCGGTGGGACCTGAGAACTCGGAAGTTTTCTGCTAATACGAGCTCATCCTTGCCGGGAAGGCTGTGGTTTTGCCTGCTGAGCCTCTTGCTGGGTTTTAATGCGCGGCGGCCACATTTCCTCCCCTTGTCTTTTTAGGACAAGAGATTTCTTTGTCCCCGGTCCTCAGCTGGGGAGGGGAGAGAAAGTGGGGGGGGGGGAGTGGGTGCAGGAAAACTCAGGACTTGGGGGAGGGGAGCGGCGGTCGCCGTGGCCGAGCTGCACCGCCTCGGGCCGCAGCGGGAACCAGTGCGGGAGCCTGAACCAGCCGTCCTCGCCGCGCAGGGCCAGCCCCGGTTACAGCCTTGCAAGGTCCTCCACGTGTCTCCATGGTAACCCCTGTGTCTCCTTGTCCCAGTGGAAGGCCTGAAAGTGGTGGAGATTGAGAAATGCAAGAGCGACATCAAGAAGATGCGGGACGAGCTGGCGGCCCGAAGCAGCAGGTGAGGTCAGGCCTAGGAAGGGCTGCCCTGGCCGGGCCCCCCGAGGGGGCTCCGGGCTTCGCTCTCCCGCAGAGCCCGGCGGCGGGGCCCGACCCAGCGCGGGCTGCGGCGGGCGCGGTTTGGCTGGGGAGTGCTTGTCAGTTGCGCGGCCTCTTTGTCGTAGAAGAGGGTCCACGTCCAAGGCGGGTGGAGGCGACGACATTTCACGGAAAGGAGGAAGAATCCGCCCGCAGATCAAAGCCTCAGGATTAACTTACCCAGCTCGAGAGAAGCTGGAGAGAGGTTGGCATCGGTTTTTGAAGCAAGGGCCCGGTTAAGAGGAGCGGGCGTGAGGCTCACAGGGGAGGGCGTCCTGGTGCCCAGAGGCCGTGCTCCTGGGTGGACGTCCCCCCCACCCCCCGCCCCGGCACAGAGCAGGGAGAAAGGCCACAAGGCCTCAGGCCGTTCTGGACACAGAAATCACTCTCCCCCGGGGAGGCAAAATTCGTGGGAAAAAACACCCCGGACTTCATGCCGCCCCCTCGAAAGCAGGTTTTTGTCCAGCAGGACCCTCTCCCGAAGCTGTGAGCACAGCAAGTGTTTGAGCTGGCGGCAGAGATGAGGAGGAGGGGGGGCGGGCACGTCGAGCACTTGCTGTGTGGGGACCTCACACCTGCCGGCCCTGCGAGATGGCCCCCAGCCCCCCTGCCCCCCCCCACGGCCACTCCCGGGAGGGGACTCCCAGGAGGGGGCACAGCCGGGCCTCAGCGGGGCTGAGGGGGAGACAGGGAAGCTAAGAATCGCCCCGCACACACACCGGGTCGTCTTACGTCTTACGACGACTCATCTGCCACTTTGAAGATCGTTCCCTGATTTTAAAACACTGAGGGCGACCGGCTCAGCGAGGGAGGCCGGCTGTGCAGAAGGGTCTCTGAGGGCAGGAGGTAAAGGGGAAGGAGATGGTCCCGGCGAGGTTCCGTGCGATGCAGAGGGGCCGGCCGGCCTCGGGGGGGCTCAGGGAAGAGCCTGATGGGCTCAAAGCCACGTTAGTGTGGTCCTCCAGGGACCAAGCCCCGTCCGTATCACACCCACGTGACACCTGATTTGGATCTGGGGATGTCTCAGCCCATTTGATTTGGGGATGTCAGGGCGAAGGCGTTTGTGAAAATGCACAGAAAATTGGGAGTCAATGATTCATCTTCGACATCCCCTCAGTGAGAGGCTAGCACCCTCGTGTGACCGGGTGAGGGCCCTGGACTGGGCCGGGGACGGGGCTGGGAAGGATGCTCACACCCACCCCGGCTGTGGTCACGGAGTCGCCCTCGGGCTCAGGATCCACACGGCCCGGCTCAGCCCCGGGGCTGCCCTCGTGTGCCCCAGCCGCCCTCCGCCTTGGGGCCAGGTGCGGGCGGGCTGATCCGCCGGGGACGGTGGCTCCGGCGCCCCCAGCGTTACCAGCCTCATCCGGCAGCTTCCAGGAAAGGGAACTAAGACTGGAGCTTGGCTTCGGTCTGAAACGAAAGAATCTGAACTGGCCTCCTGGCTTCAGCGGCTCGTCTGTACCGCGGGCCGAGGAACCTCACCACCTGGGCGGGAATGATGCCCCGAGCTCCCTTCCCGCCTCTGTGGGCACCGCGTCACTCACTAACGTGCCCACGGAGCCCACGGAACACCCACGGGACACATTTCTGAGGCAGCCTCTTGTCCCTTCTCAAATGACCACATCCTACCACCTACCTGAAGCAGCCGGGGTGAGTCGCGAGCCCCACCCTTGCTGGTCCCGTCCCTGCCGTGTCTCAGGCGCCCCCCGGCCCCCACCTCCCCCCATCCCGTGGAAGCGAGGCGTGTGCCAGCCTGGCGTCCCGCAGGTCAGGCTGCAAGGGGACACTAACGTGGCCCAAGTGGCCTCGCACGCCTGTGGCGGCCATAACAAAGCACCACAATCGGGGGGCTTTCTCACGCTAGAAATTTGTTCTCTCAAAGTTCTCATGGCAGACGTCAGAGAGGGAGGTGTCGATGAGGCCATGCTCCCTCTGACGGCTCCAGGGAGGGTCTGTTCCAGGCCCCTCTCGGAAGCTTCTGGAGGTCGTCGGCAGTGCTTGGGGCTCCTCGGCTTGTAGCTGCATCATGCAGTCTGTGGTCTTCACTCGGCCTTCTCCCTGTGTGTCTCTGGGTCCAGATGTCCCTCTTTACAAGGACACCGGCCGCATCCTAACTAATCACACCTGCAGTGACCCTGTTTCCAAAGGAAGTCCCGCTCGCGGGTGCTGGGGCGTTAGGACTTCAAATGATCACTTTGGGGACGTGGTCCAACCACAACGCGGCACATGGGGACGATACGCCCGATTTCAGAGCCCACGGGAAGAAGCCCACCCGGGAGCCGAGAGGAAAACGTCACCCACAGGCACCCATCTGGCCAAGTGGGCTAAGCTGAGGCGTGGTGGGTGCCTGGGCTCATCCCCGGAACGGAGCTCTCTTCCTCACCGCCCAAAAAGTCCATTTTTAGAGCTCCCAATGCCATGATCCAAAGAGAAGCCTTCCCGGTGCCCTAACTGCTTCGAGAGGCGATATTCTCAGCAGACGGTTTTCACAGCATCCCACGTAGGTGAGAGACGGGTAAATGTGACTCTCCAGTCACAAACAGAGGGGGGTAAAAATCTCCAACATCGCTGACACATTTAGAGAAAAGAACCCCGGGGGCCTGGGCTCGGGCCTCACCCGCAGCCACGCCGCCCACCCCGGACCCTGGTCCGGGAGCCCGGCAGCCCCTTCCGTGCCACACGCTAACCGCCCTCGTGCCCTTGCTTCGCGGAGAAGGGAAGCTGGGAAACAATCAGCCGCTCGCACTGCCCCTTCTGTCTCTGTTGGCTGCAAGGTTCCGTCGTAGTGGTGCAAGGACGTCACGCAGCATTTAGCGTCCCTGGGACCAGGCTCCCCGACACCTAGCTTCGCCTCGCTGCGGGGGAGAGAAGGGCGCCCCGGACAGCTCTTTCCAGTGATACCCACCCGCGAGGTGGCGACCGAGCCTCTCCAGAAGGCGGAGGGGACGTAGGCGGCGGGCAGGGGTGAGCCCAGCCCCGTCCTCGCAGGGATGACTAATGACCCACATTCGCCAGCACGTGAGCCCAGCCCAGCGGGGCCTCGGCACCAGGGGCCCCGCTCTGGGAGCAGGGGTGGGGTAGCGCCGTGGGCAGGCTCCCAGACGCCCCTGGAACAGGCCGCACGCCTCCCAGACCCACGCCCTGGGCTTCTCCCGGTCCAGGTTCCTGCTCACATTCAGGGCAGGGCCAGGCCTAGCTGAGCACAGAGAGGAGTGCCGCCCCGGGGCCGGGGAAGGGCTGCGAGGGCCTGGGGTGGCATCTGAGGGCTCCGGGGTCCGCGGCCCCCACTTCCATCAGAAACAAAGGGCCTCGTCCGCCGGATGAGCCACAGGGGAGGGGAGGCCGGGGGCCCCTGGAAATGAAAGCAAAAAGCCCCAAATAGAATGAAAAGAAAAGGCAGCGTGCCAGCTGCTCCGTGGCTGGAGGAGGCTGGTTCCCATGGCAACGGGCACAGAGGGGAGGGCCCAGGTGGGGAGGCCCCGGGAGAGTCGCCAGGCGCCCAGCACACGCACCGGGAGGGTCAAGGAAGCTTGCCTCGTGCGACCACCCCCCTGGGACACGCACAAGGCCTACCTAGCTGGTTTAGTTTAAGAGAGAGAGAGAGAGAGAGAGAGAGAATGAGCAGGGGAGGGGCAGAGACAGAGGGAGGGAGAGAGAATCCAAAGTGGGCTCCACGCTGTCAGTGCAGAGCCCGACGCGGGACTCGAAACTCACGAGCTGTGAGACCATGACCTGAGCCGAAATCAGGAGGCAGGAGCTCGACCGACCGAGCCACCCGGGTGCCCCGGTGCCGTCTCCTTTCTCAAGTGCACAGACCACGCTTGTCACTTCTCAGAAACGTGTAGGCTGCAATTTCTCGTTCGCGGGCGACCACGGGAATCATCCGGTCGGTGTCTTCTGCGGGTTCGCCGGTGACTCTTTGGCTAAATTTGTGTGAAAACCCCCTCCCCACACGGAGTCGGGTGGGTTTTGTGAGCATCCGGGGGAGGGAAGGAGCACGACACCATTTCATTCTGAAGGCGCCTGTTCCAGAAGGAAAACAGGCTTGTTACTCTGAGCACAGCCCCCAGGTAGAAGCTCCAGACTGAACGGATGAGGGGGCGAATCCCCAGCAATGACCACGGCTGGCGAGGCCCCCGCCTAAAATCTGGATGCCGGGCCGCCCAGAGCCTCTAGGTATAAGTACCTCCTTTCGAAAAGAAATAGTGTGTTGTAATCTTTTTTCACTTACAACACCGTGAGCAATAAATAGATCGAATTTTAACCAACGGGCGCCTGGGGGGCTCGGTCGGCTGAGCGTCCGACTTCGGCCCAGGTCATGATCTCACGGTCCATGAGTTCGAGCCCCGCGCCGGGCTCCGTGGGGCCTGCTTTGGACTCTGTGTCTCCCTCTCTCTCTCAAAAATAAATAAACATTAAAAAAAAATTTTTTTTTTAATTTCTTTAACCAACTTCATCCAGCTCATCCATTTGTCCAGGAGGCCACTGTCCACCCACAAACGTGGTCTTTTGCCCTCGTACCTCAGTGGATTCTTTTTGCGTTCCCTTTCAGTGCATACCGAATGCAACCTTTCTTTTTCCTCTCTCCCCTAAACTCTCCTTACTTCACATAATACTCGTAATTACCTAAAGAACACGTAATCGTCCGTCGTGGTTTAAGCTATTTCCCACATTTCAGTGGCTTCCGGTTTGGGGTTGTGTTTTCGTAACGACAGATAACGTTGCAGTGAAGACCTTTGCGCACAGGGATGGCTGCTTGCATCCAATTCTTTTCTGAAGATAAATTCCCCAGGGTAGACACACGGGCTTCATGGACATGAATTTCTCTGTGGCTCTTACTATGTGGTACTAAATTGCTCTCCCAGAAGGTGGACTTTATTTACAAAGTTTGCCAAGTCCGAGGATAGAGAGCGTGTTCACCTTCCGAGAAGGTGGGGAGGGGGCCACGTGCAGCCCCCCCGGGGTACGGCCAGGTCCGCACTCTCTGCCCTGACGGTGGGAGGAGGCTTTCCCTGCAGAGCACCCCCCGTTTGGTGTGTTCTGTCCCCGTGGAGAATATACCTCGATACTGAGGGACGAAGGACGGCAGATAGCAAACGCATCTCCCGACGGTAGGTGCTGGGGGAAACCGGAAACGTCCTGCACGTCCGTGCTGGGAGCCTGGCTTGGTAACACAGCCACATCCAGAAGCACTGGGCAAGGATCTGCCTTGTCCCGAAGCCCCGCTCTGTGGGGCGCCATGCAGTGAGTGTGGGATATATGAAGTGAGAAAAAAAAAAAAAGTTGCAAAAGAGGAAGTTTGGTACAATTCCATTTGGGTTTAAAAAAAAAAAAAATACAAGGCGCTATCCCTATGTGTCCATGCGTAGGAAAATTCTGGAAGGATACGCCAAACTTAACTGAACGCATTTCCAGGGTGTGAGGTTTAGGGGAAAGAAATAGGTAAAGTGGGGGGGAGGGGGGGGCAGGGGACTTGCTTTCTTTTTTTTTTACACCTTACCTACTTCCTTGTTTGAATTTTGTAGAATCCAAGGGTCTTACCTGCGTCATTAAAAGATATTTAGGAACCTGTTTAAAATGAAGCTGATGTGTTTTCTAAGAGCCCCAATATCATCTCAGGAGGTCCAGGCAGGGTCCCTGGGGGTTAGCAATGAGATGTCGCCGGATTTAGGATTTACTGTCCCGCAGCAAGTAAGGCCAAGGGGTCTGTGGGGTTGGGGTCGGGGTTGCTCCGAGGAGGTGCCCCAGTGGACACCCCACTAAGTGGTGATGCCAGAGCTAACCCCGACTTTTCCCCTTTAGGACCAGCTGTCCCTGTAAGTACAATTTTGTGGATACCAACAAGAAGATGACGCCCCGGCGTGATGTCCCCACTTACCCCAAGGTGAGAGGAGGTTCTGGCTCTGACGAGACCGTGGCTGTGCGTCCACGGCCAGGGCACCGGGCCCCGAGCCCTCAGCCACCCCGACTTGCCGGCCAGGCCCCCTCTGGCTGCGCCTTCGCAAACCCAGCTCCCCTGCGGCGCCGGGCTGTGGGACGCTCCTGCTGTCCTCGGGCAGGGTAGTGTTTTGTCTGCCGTGTGTCTGCCACAGGAGCCCCGGGCCCGGCCTCCTGTGCCAGCAGGTGAAGGACAGCCCCCGCCCCGTCCGCCCGTCGCCGACGAGGCGAATGTGTCCGCACTCTCATGTTACTGCAAGGAGCTTTAATTTTTTAATTTTTTTTTAATGTGTATTTATTTTTGAGAGAGGGAGAGACAGAGCACGAGCAGGGGAGGGGCAGAGAAAGAAGGAGGCACAGAATCCAAAGCAAGGTCCAGGCTCTGAGCTGTCAGCACAGAGCCCGACACGGGGCTCGAACCTGGAACCTTGAGAAGATGACCCGAGCCGAAGTCGGACGCTCAACCGACTGAGCCGCCCAGGAGCCCCTGGAGCTTTAATTCTTAACTAAATTATCTCAGATCTGCCTGGTTGGATCTCCCGTCCCCGAATAATACGTAGTGATTACGAGAAGTTTCGCTCTCTAGTCTCAGATCTCTCAGTTACAGGAACCCAGGCCCTGGTGACAGGAGCAGCGCCCTGGGAGTTGAGAGGGGTCTTCAAACACCACAGAGAAGGGTCCTGTGGCGTCAGTCACCATCTCAACAGTCCCTTCAGCTGAGTTGGCAAAACCCTGGCCCGACTGACCTCTCACACTCTCACGCTAAGATTCAGGCTTCCGTGTGCTGGTGCTGAGACCGGTGTCCCAGGTCCCCAGGGAGTCACGAAACCCAGCCGGTGCCCAAACTGAAAGGTGTCTCTCCTCTGTAGCAACTCCCTTTAAAAAAAAGAACAAACCAGGGGCGCCCGGGTGGCTCAGTCGGTTGAGCGTCCGACTTCCGCTCAGGTCACGTAGTCACAGTGAGTGGGTTCGAGCCCCGCGTCGGGCTCTGTGCTGACAGCTCGGAGCCTGGAGCCTTCTTCCGATTCTGTGTCTCCCTCTCTCTCTGCCCCACACCCCCCCCCCCAACCCATACCCTTTCTCCCCCCCAAAAAAAAAAATTAAAAAAAAAAAAAAAAAAAGACCTAGGGCAAGGTTATATCTAATCCCGGAACCCTGTCATCACGGGGTTCCTCCCTCTACGATCACACCCTCAATCTCCTACGACAGTTTGACCCGAGCTCTGGTCTCCCCTCTGCCCACACCCCTCAGCGAGCTGTGCTGCATTAGCGTATGGCCAAAGCAGGGACAGGTTCCCTCAAAAAAGAAACTCCGAATAGCTTCTTAGCCAGGATTTGAATGTACGCCACGTTCCCTGGACTTCACTTTAGTGTATTTTTTCAAGTCGGGTGTATTGAGAGGTAACTGACACGTAGTGAAGTTTCCCTCCTGTGGGTGCAGAGTACTGCGAATTTGGAAAACCTCAGGTGACCTCCAGCAGTACCAAGGGGCGGCACATCTCTGTCACCCCACGACCTTCCTCGTGCCCTCCCCCTGCCCCTGGCAGCCACTGATGGGGTTTCTGCCCCTGGAGGTTGGCGCTCCCCAGAATTCTGGTAGAATGTGGCCCTGGAGCCTGTGCACAGGTGTCCTTGAAAGGGGACAGGAGGAAGTAGAGGAAACATCCCCCAGCCCGCGTGCGGCCGGTGGCCTTTGTCTCAGCCCAGAGGCTGACGGTCCCCTGTCCTTCCCAGTACCTGCTCTCTCCAGAGACCATCGAAGCGCTCCGGAAGCCCACCTTTGACGTCTGGCTCTGGGAGCCCAACGAGGTGAGTGAGGGGCCCCCGTGCCAGCGTCACGGGCACCGCAGATCTCTTCCTCCTCTCTGGTCTTTGTTTTTTAACTTGATTCTGCAGGTTTTACTCCAAACTGACTCTGGGCAGGCCCAGGAGGGCCCCAGGGACAGGACTCAGCGAGGGGGGTGTCGGAGCAGAGGCGTGGGCGGTCAAGGGCAGGAGGGCTGGGCCGTGACACCGCTGGCTCCCCACCCCCCAAGCACCCTCCCGGGCGGCTGCCGTGCCCACCAAGGAGAAGCCGGGAGGCGTCCCCCACAGCCAGCGGAGTGGGACGCAGGACGCGGAGTCCCTTTGCGCAGCGAGAAGGATCTTTACGTTGTCCTTTTTGCTGAGAAAACACTAAGATGGAGACTTCCCGTTTGTTTGTTTAGTTGAATAATATCAGTTGTACCCCTCCCTTTGTGAACCCCAAGAAAACAAAAGCCGTTCATCATGGACACCGGGCCCAGCAGCTCTACGGACAAATTGTCCAGCTTTCTGGCAACACAGACGTGTAGACAAGCTGCCCCCGGCAAGCCCACCGCCTGGACAGCAGGTCCGCTGACGCGGGAACGGAGGGCTTTGCGCCCTGAGCGGGCGCCGTCTGTGTCTCCAGGGCCTGGGCTCTCGTGCTGTCGTTCTTGCCGACACAGGAGAGGCCTCCGCCCCGCCGCGCGCTGACCCGGGTCCCAGGGGTCGTCCCATAGCCAACCCTGAGCCAGACGACACGCGGCCACCGAGGAACGTGCGGACCGGAGCGTGCGTTTGGAGGGGCAGGAGGCTGGCCTTGCCCGCGAGGTCGGTGCGTGACCGGCAGTGACCGGGAGGGTGGGAGGTGGCGTGGCCAGCAAACAGCAGTTGGGTCTTGAGGACGAGCGTCGGGACTAAGGTCTGAACGGGGGGCCCAGGCTGGGCCGGGCCCGCCGGATGGCGAGTGGACTCGGCAGGGTGGCTTCACGTGCACAGATTCCCGCTTCCCGCGGGAGGGCAGGAGCCCCGCCAGAGCACTTCTAGAAGAGCCGACGCTCCCGGAAGTCATTCTGGCCCCGGCCCACCGGGAGCGAGAGCAAAGCCGGGGCCCCCGGTGGCAAAGCGCCCACGTGGACACGGGCACTCGCCGCCCGTCTCTTACGGAATCTCACCGAGCGCAGGGCTCCCTGTGGCCACAGAGGCCACGCCGCCTCGTGGGGAGATTGAAGGATTCACGCATCCACGATGGGAAGGCCGCCCGCCCGCCCTCCCACAGGCAGACCCGTCAGGGGCCCCGGACCCCTGCCGCTCTCCAGTTTCCAAAACCCGGCGCCATGGACGTTATCCTATCTGCATCCATCCCGTCCCCTCCAGGAAGACCGGTGTGTGGTCAGCTTGCAGGACGTTCCAGGACGTTGCCGGCTCTCCCAGGACCGCGTAGCCGGGAAGATGGCTTATGGGGTGGCACGCCCTGTGTTAGCTCGGGCAGCCACGACTCAAACCACATCCTGGAGGCTGCAGGTCCGAGATCCAGGCGTGGGCAGGGCTGGTGTCTCCCACGTCCCCATGCGGTCGTCCCTCCGTGCATGTCTGTGTTCTGGCCTCCTCTCCTCGCGGGGACACAGGTCCTGGTGGATCAGAGCCACCTCAGTGACCTCATTTAACCTGGATGACCTCTCTGAAGGCCTGCTCTCTGCACAGTCACGTAGGGGGTTAGAGCTTCCATTGACTGATTTGGGGGCCACGGTTCAGTCCATAACACACCCGTTTGGGAGGAGGTGGTCACACCGTGACCACAGACAGCCGGGGAGCGTGGCCGTGCAGGCCCCAGGAGGCTGGCCGATGGCATGGCGGCAGGGCACAATGTCACGCCCCGGGCCGCCAGGCGATGCCTAGAGATCCCTGCTTTGCGCATCGCCAGTCACCCTGGGAGACCTGCCTCCCGGAAATCAGAGCCCGTTTTATCAGACTCCCACTTTGTAAAAATCACTTAATCTTTCTTCCCTGGTTTAATGAGCTCCAGAGCTCTGAGCTGTATTTAAATAGATCGCCACAATGACAGCACATCCTCTTTGGGACCGAAAACAAATCTACTTCAACCTGAGATTTCTACAGAAGACAGCTCAGTGAAGTGAAGTGAATTCGGGGCAGGAAGCTCACCTTCCAGACCCTGTAATTAACGCATTAAAATGTGTGGGGTCCCAGCGGGCCCCCGAAGGGCAAAATGGAGCATGTGTGGGATGCAGGCCGTCAAGGCTCAGCCTCTGTGTCCGCACACGCACCTGCTCTGGGGTCTGCGTCCGGGGCATCTGTGCCCCGGCCTGTGACGCCCTTCGGGAGACGGTTTCTCGTGTGCCGAAGTTCACGGCGTCGCCGCTGACACTGTCATCTGGGGGCGCTCCCTCTCACCCGATCGCCGTCCTTCTAGGGGTCCTGAGACAACAGCCCCCCACCCGGCCCCAGTCAACACGGCTCCTCCCTCCGGGCCTCCCGGGAGGGGAGAGCTCATCCTGTAGGGACAGGCCCTGGCCCTGCGCGCGTCCCCCAGGGCTCCGGAGGGGCCGTGCCGGGCTGGCTCGCTTGTGCCGCTGACCGCCTGCTTCCCCTGCGCCTCCAGATGCTGAGCTGCCTGGAGCACATGTACCACGACCTGGGCCTGGTCCGAGACTTCTCCATCCACCCCGTCACGCTCAGGAGATGGCTGGTGAGTGCGGGCCCCTCACGTCCCTCTTGAACAACACAGTGCCTTCCGGTTACTCGGGAACAGACCGGCCAGGCACCTTCCTGGACGGACGGAGGCGACGTCCCCAGGAGAGTTTTGTGAGAACAGGCGGCCAGGGTCCGTCTGTCTCCTGCCAGAATACTCAGTCCCCCTAAACCCCCGCTCTGGTGGCGAGAGTGAGAACCAGGGAGGGGTCAGTGAAGCAGCCTGTGAGGGTGAGTGTGCAGGTGTGTCTGTGTGAGTGCGTGTGCAGAGAGCAGAGTGCGTGTACGTGTATGAGTGTGTGAATGTGTGTTTCACAATAGATTTTTTTGTAAATAAAAGATTGCTCGGAACCAAGTAGGAAAAGCTTAAACGTCAAATATGAAAATATGAAAACGTGTGATGGTGACTGGGACCCAGAGCCCCTCCCGTAACCCCCAGCCCTTCCCCCGGCTTCACGTCCCCACGTGGCCCCTCAGAGCCCCCCTGGGGGCACCTCAGTCTGTGAGCCCCGGTGGAAGCCTGTTCCCCACCCGCCCTCTGAGGCCACAGGGAGGCCAGTGGGCGTCCTCGGGCCCCCCGGGCCACTCCTCCTTACCTCCAGCAAGCACAGGAACACAGCCGGCCTCTGGGTCGGCCGAGGATTTCACAGAGCTGGCATTCCGAAACGCCAGCCAGCTGGCGAAATCGGAGGAAAGGTGTGCAGGGCGGGGAGGGCGGGGAGGGCGGGCAGCTGCGTGCCAGCAGCCGGGACCTCTGTCTCTCCAGCTCTGCGTGCACGACAACTACAGAAACAACCCTTTCCACAACTTCCGGCATTGCTTCTGCGTGACCCAGATGATGTACAGCATGATCTGGCTCTGCCGGCTCCAGGTGCGTCTCTGGGGGGGCTCCTGCTGGGGGCGGGGGCACCTCGCTCACGGACGCCGCCCCCACCCGGGGGCACGGGCTCCCCCACCCTCCCAGGGAAGCCACGTCGCCCCTTGGCCCCTTGCCGTCCTCAGGCAAGCTGGCGGCTCCGTGCGGCGAGCAGGGGCGGGGCACCGGGCAGGTGCGGGCCGCCCTCCCGGCCCCACCCCAGAGAGCGGGCCGGTCCTCCCCATAGGCCAGCTGCTAGGGGACTTCGTCCTACCCGCGTCCCGCCTCTCCCACCGCATTCCAGCCCCCTCCTCACCCCCTCCCGCCCTCTCTCTAATCCAGGAGAAATTTTCCCAAATGGATATCTTGATTCTAATGACGGCAGCCATCTGTCACGATTTGGATCACCCAGGGTACAACAACACGTACGTGTACGATTTTTCTCTCTCTCGTCTCTTCCTTCTCAAGGGCTCTCTGGTTGTCAGAAGCGACCTCTTCAGCTTCACGCACAGACCAGTTCTGAGGTGGGGCTGCGGCAAAGGCCTCACCAGCACCCCCGGCTCAGATGCTTAGGACACGGCTCCCACTTTGGGACTTTGTCCAGGGCCTCGGGCCCCCCCCCGGGGCAGACCCTTCCTGGTCGCCAAACCCCGAGGGGCCGCCGCCCTCCTTTGCGGTCCTGCTCCAGACCCTGCACGCCCCTCTGCGCAGGCAGAGCCGTGGTGGTGCCCAAACTCCCCTCCGCCCGAAGCCGGGGGCAGTACCCACACAGGATGCCCATTCTCCGGATCTCACTCCCCAGCCTGTGTCCGGCAGCAACGGGGCAGAGACTAGGACTGAGGGAGAGAAGGAGTTCAGGCCAGCAGGGGGCGGGGAGGCGCCGTGGGGGGCCAGGAGGACAGGCCGAGCTTGGCCGAATCGGTGATCCGCTCCCACCCCTGGGGTGGGGGGGCAGAGGCACAGAGTCCACCCCGTGCGGCCATCAGGTCCGGGCCGCGTGGCGCCCGTTCGCATCCCTAGTGAGGCACCTGTCCTTTCGGTCAGATGCGTCTGTGCGGTGACATCACATATGGCCGGGAACTCGCCGGCGGCTTTCATGCCAGGCCTCCGTCAGGACGGGAGTGGGTTCCACGGTGTGGACGTCCGTGTTCCTCAGAGGAGGCCGGCACCATGAGCGCCCATTCCCCCATTTCACACTCAAGACGATGTGCACAGCACAGGCCTTAACCGCAGCCTCTGACCTCAGAACACATCTTGGTTCTTCTCCCAAACGTCTGCCTTTTGCATATGCCGATGTTTGCAAGGGGCCCGAACAGATTCCCTTCGGGGCGGCATGACTGGGAGAAGTCGAGGTGTGTTGGTGGTGTCTACTCGGCGGGATTCTAAGACCTCGAGGGTGTCTCGTTAAAGGGGCGGCAGAGTCAGAGAGCCCAGGGGAGCAGGTCCCCGGCACCTGCAGGGCACGCCCGGCTTGCCTTCCAGCCTCTGCGGGCACCGCCGCGTCCGAGCGCAGGTGCCCGAGGCTCCGTTTGCTCTCTCCCGCGATGCCAGGTACCAGATCAACGCCCGCACGGAGCTGGCCGTCCGTTACAATGACATCTCGCCCCTGGAGAACCACCACTGTGCCGTGGCCTTTCAGATCCTCGCCCAGCCCGAGTGCAACATCTTCACCAACGTGCAGCCGGACGGGTTCAAGCAGATCAGACAGGTGTGCAGGGGCCCTCTGACCGCAGAGTGGGAGGCGGTGAGCACAACCACGGAGTAGAGCCCCTCCCGCCAGCGGCCGAGGCCCCAGAAGCCCCTGGTCCCACCAGGGATCCTGAGGAACCCACCCCCCCCGCCCCCTCCTCGCCCACCAAGGCCAGTGGCATTCCGGAGAGAGGCGCACCCTCGGCATAAGCACACGGGACCCCACTGACCTGCATTTCACGTCCAGTGTTTCACCCGAAGCCTTTAAGATCCGTCCTTTCTCCAGCTTGCAGCCCGGGAGAGTGGGGGTTACAGAGGTGAGGGGCACCGTGGGAACGTGCAGGCCCTGGACAGATGCACCTGCTGAGTCCAACCTAGCCGACTGTTTCCCCTGCCCCCCAGCTGCCTCCCCCTGCCCCACCCTCACCCGGTCGGCCCCACCGCCCACTTCACATAAGAGACCCCGGGGAGGCCTCTGTCTCCCTCCTGTCCTGAGACAGACGTCCACCTTGCTGGAGGTAATGCCCCCTCCCACGCAGGAGGTCCCACGCAGGAGGTCCCACGCTGGGCACAGCTCTGTGCGCCACCCTCCGATGTTTTCAGGGGAGGGAAGATACCAGAATGATCTCTTGGAAGAGTGTATGGGTTGAATGGTAGCCAAAAAAAATTGTATGCTCACTTCCTAACCCCCAGAACCTTTTGTATGTGACTTTATTTGGAAAAGAATCTTTGCAGTGGTGATTAAGTTAGGATCTCTGCGTGAGATTAGCTGGTGTTACCTAGGTGGGCCTAAAGCCAGTGACAGGTGTCCTTAGAAGAGACAGATACATGGAAGGGAAATTGGCCTAAAGACGGAGGCAGAGGCCGGAGTGACCCGGGGCCACAGGAGCAGGAAAAGTCAGGAAGGATGTTTTCCCAGCGCCTTCAGACTTCTGGCCTCCGGACTGGGAGAGAATGCCCCGCTGTGGTTACCCGTCACCTGGCACGCGGTACTCATGTGGCAGCCCCAGGACACGCGCACAGGGAGCCACCCTCGCGGTGAGGCACCCTACTCTGCTGTCCCACGGATGACAGCCTCACCCACCGGGTGCCCGGGGCCTCGCTTCAAGGTGCACCTGTTAAAGATGCTGGGACCCGGGCTGTCCCTCCTGGAGGTCTGACGGGCTGCACTTCATCAGAGAACACCGTCCCTCCATCTGCCGTGGAAGCTCAGAGCCGAGGCCGGTGCCGAAGGACAGTCCCCATCGAGTCGCCAATTTCCGGCCCAACCATGTCCCCCTTATCTATGGGCTTTCTGGCCTCTCTTCCGTGTTCTGGAGCCGCCGGCCGGGGACACCGCGAGCTGTTGGGATGAGCCCTGACGTGTCTTCCTCTCCAGCGTGGGAAGGGGCGAGTCGTAGAGAGTCCCCGAGGGCTGCCGGTGAGGAGCTCCTGTGGGGAGCGACCTGGAGAAGCGAAGCAGCCGGGTCCCCTTGGTGTGTGCCCTGCCCTCCTACCCCGGGAGCAGTCAGAGCAGCGTCCCCAAGCAGGGGACCCGCCTCCCTCACCCCGCCCGCCATGGGGACGCACGAGGCTTGTCAAACGTCAGACATGAGACTTTCCTGACCGTGAAATCATTCAGCCCGATTTTTGATAATATTTTGTCATCGAGTACCTTGCTTACCAAGGTAGGAAGGTATTTGTAGTTAGAGAATCATCGCATTCTCGCTTACGAATGTGTTAGTAGAACGACGCTGTCAAATGCAAGCGGGCTTTGACCACCCCCGCGCAGTGTGCGCCCAGAGTCACGTACAGATGAGACGCGACAGGGGAAAGAGACTTCTGGAAGATCGGCGATTGACCTCCGGCAACGGGACGTGAAAGGAACGGCCGTGGATCTGGATTCCCGAATTGAGGGGAAGTATCCGTCCTCAGTCGAAACCGACCGTCATCACCGGGAAGCCCAGCGCCGAGCCGGCCATCTGCAAGCCCATGGGCCTGCCCCCTCGTGGACTTGGCCCTCGGGGCCCATTTGCAGCGCACGGGTGGGCTTGAACCCCCAGCTGCGGCCCGGGAGGCTCCCCGGCCTCTCATCTTACAAATGAGGACGGTGTTGTGCAGATGCACACATAGAGTTGGACCCGGACCCGGGGAAGGGCCGTGTGCCCAGCCGGCGCTCGCTGGGTCCTTGCCGGGATTCCGCCCGGGGCTAACGCTTTGCTCTCACTTTCCAGGGGATGATCACTCTGATTCTAGCCACTGACATGGCAAGACACGCAGAAATTATGGATTCTTTCAAAGAAAAAATGGAGAATTTTGACTACAGCAACGAACAGCATGTGACCCTCGTAAGTAGATCGCTACACCCGTTTTGGGGGCCCTGGTGCACGCGTCCTACGCTCCGGCCCAGACTGGACCCCGAGACCCCAAAACCCTGAACCTTGCCCTGCAGCGTCCAGCTCTCCCCGGGCAGCCCCCAGCGGGCCTGTCTTCCGGTTGAAGGCAGCTTTTGTGCTTCCTGTGCCGCCTTCTGATTTGAAGGTGGTACGTGGGGGAAAGCAATCCGTCCTGCTCAGTCCCGAGAATAAAGTTGGCTCTCCCACGAAGGCGGTGCCCCAGAAAACACTCCAGTTACCAGCTTCCGGGCGGGCACCCCAATTACCAGCTTCTGGACGCAGCACCCCTCCCGGCCCGGCCCTCCACGAGCAGGGCCAGCTGTTCAGAGAAGGGCAGGGAGCCTCACCGTGAGGAGGGCCCGCCTGGGTCTGCACCCCACCTGCCCTTCGTAAGAGAAACACCTGGAAGCACCCTTCCCCGTCTTCGGAGAAAGGGGTTCTGCTGAGCCTTGTCTGGGCGTCAGGCCTGCTTTCCGGCCTTCTCTCTCTCTCTCTCTGGCTCTCTCTTTTTTATTTTTATTTATTTATTTTTTTCAACGTTTTATTTATTTTTGAGACAGAGAGAGACAGAGCATGAACGGGGGAGGGGCAGAGAGAGAGGGAGACACAGAATCGGAAACAGGCTCCAGGCTCTGAGCCATCAGCCCAGAGCCCGACGCGGGGCTCGAACTCCCGGACCGCGAGATCGTGACCTGGCTGAAGTCGGACGCTTAACCGACTACGCCACCCAGGCGCCCCAAGCTCTCTCTTTTTTAAAACCGATGGTCACTTTCTGTCCCTGGAAGCTGATGAACAAGGAAGCCCTCTGAGATCTGGCCGCCCGTCTGACGTCACGTCCCCAAAACCGATTCGTAGCTAATACACAAGGTGTGCGGGGAAGGACCTCACGTTCTGCAGAAGTTACACGGCAGGAGAAAATGTCCCCTGGGGCCAGGGCCTCCCGAGGCATCGCTTCTTGGGGACGGGGCGCAGAGAGACGCAGTCATGTGGGAGCCATGTCCCTGCTCCCGAAAACCAGCGGGTGTGGGTGGGGCCGCCTGGCCCTATGGCAGGGTGAGGGCGGTGCGTCTGGAGACAGAGGGACGAGTAGACGTGCCCCCTCTGCCTCCGTTTCCCCTCTGAAACGTAAGGAAAGACCCTGGAGGGCAGAGGCCACACGTCTGCTGCCAGTGTCAAGACCGTGAGCCGCACAGAGTGACCATCACCCCTTTACTCCCTTCCTTCAACCGTCCAAGCGGGGGGAGGGGGGGGAAGAGGCCCCGGGTCCCCGGGGTTCCATCCACCCCCACACCGGGCGAGGCGTGGCGGCCCGCAGCACAGACCAGGGGGTCGTGCCCTGGCCGGGGAGCCCCCAGATCTCCACTTGTTCGTGCACAAGGGCTGGGGGAGGTAGAGGGGAGGAGGCCCCCAGGAGGAGGCCCGAATGCTGACGAGCTCCGCGCGGCCGGGCCTGGGGGCCTGGAAGCTTCCCGCCGCCCGGCAGCACCCAGCCTGTGCCCCGGGCCCAGCGTCGGGCCGCTGCCCCGAGAGGCCTGCCGGGCAGAGCCCTGTGATGGCCTGTGTTCTGGAGTCACCTGAGCGGAGACAAGGAAGGCCGGGATCGACTCCCGGGGACTGACAAGGGGACAGGGACAGGGGCAGCCGAGTCAGCCCAGGTTCAGCTGAGGCCGTGCCAGGGTTTGAGCCGAGCAGAGCCTTGCCGAGTCGCCTTGCCCACCTGCGCCTGCCGGGAGGCCCTGAGCTGATGTGCCCGGGAGCACCGCCTGCTGAGTCAGCGTCACACCCTGAGCGCCGGCCCACACATTGGTGACTCCCGGGGCCCAGGACATCAGTGACTCCCGGGGACGGTCGTGTGCCGGCCCCGAAGGCACCCGCCTTCGGGCGCAGGGGCAAACGCCCTGGCCCGACCGGTCTCCTGAAGTGCCCACTGGGCGCGCAAACCTCACCAGACTCGGAGGGCTGGTCTCCGGGGAGGACGAAGTCCAGACCCAAACGGCAGCAGGGGGACGTGCTCTGGGCCCCGCTGATCCCCCCTTGTCTTCCAGCTGAAGATGATTCTGATAAAATGCTGTGATATCTCCAACGAGGTGCGTCCGATGGCAGTTGCAGAACCTTGGGTGGACCGCTTGTTGGAAGAGTATTTCATGCAGGTGAGAGCGTCCCAGTGCCACCAAACCCCCAGCGGGGGCCCCGTGTTGGAAAGGGGGATGGCTGTGCCCGGGGGACGAGTGGATGGGAGCGGACAGTCTCTGGCCCCCAGAATGCCTCACGGCAGGTGCACATCCGAGAGGAAAGACGGCCACAGCCTGCAAAGTGGCATCGACAGCTGCCACCGGGGACCACGAAAGAGCAGTGAATGGGGGCGGCAGCGTCGGGCAAGTGGCCTGAAAGGGAAGAGGCAGAGGCAGGAGGGGAGGCTCCCCCGGGGCAGGTGACACCAAGCAGGTCGGCCTACGCTTTGAGGCCCGGGGAGGCCCTCAGACAGAAGACCAACCAGCCACGCGGGAGGTGCCGGAAGGGCCAGTAGGGCGCTCGCAACGTCAGCGTGGTGGACCCCGGGTTCAGAGCCGAGAGCCGCCCGGCGACTCACCCCCCACCCTCCACCCTGTCCCTCTGCCCTGTCGTCACGGCGCAGCCCTGCCTGCCCAGCTCCTGCCACCCGTCCTGGTGGCTGTGAACGTCCCCACGATGGAGCGCGCTGGCTGGCGGTGGCACGTTAACCTGCCTTCTGCCCTCTGAGGCCGGTGACCCTCGGGGCCCCCCAGATTCCGCGCTTTCCAACGTTTCTGCCTCCCTGCAGAGCGACCGCGAGAAGTCGGAAGGCCTTCCCGTGGCCCCTTTCATGGACCGGGACAAAGTGACCAAAGCCACGGCCCAAATTGGGTTCATCAAGTTTGTCCTGATCCCCATGTTTGAAACGGTGACCAAGGTGAGTGACCATCACCGCATGCTGAATGACGTCGTGCTGAGAAGCACACACGTGCACACACGTGCACACACACACCAGCGTGCTGTAGCTGCCTGCTCAGTGCCCCCCTCCAGCACGCCCAGAACACCCTCTCGTCCCCCCTGTCTTGTCCCTCCCGGTCTTCCGGCCTCCCTGCCCCCTGGGGCCCCCCTCTGCCCTCCACTCCCAGGGCACCTCTGCTGACCTGCCCCATCCACGGGCACACGGCCATCCCCAGGCAGATTTCAGCAAGGAGACTATCTCTGCCTCTCTCCTGAACCTTCCATGGCTCCCCACTGCCCACGACACAGGGAAAACTGCCCGCCTCGTTACACACAGTCCCCCACCCTCCCTAGCACTCCGGTCGTGCAGGACGGCCCCCAGCTCCTGGTCCTCCCCTTTCTTCAGACCACCTCTGACTGTGTCCCCTCAGCTGGCCTTGGCCCCGTCCCACCCGCCAGCCTTCCAGAACCGCCTCAGCACACCCTTCCCTAAACCCCATTCACTCCCGCTTCTCTGGGGCCTCGGCCTTCCCGCACATTCCTTCACGGACTTCTGGGCCTTCGCCACGGCCAGCGGGGACAGGGGCACAGCGCTGCCACATCGGGCCTGCCCCCCTCCGGCAGCAGGATCGGGATGTGACTGGGGAGGCACGGAAGGCGTCCCGGGGCCCAGAGCTACGTGCACAGGGTTCCGTGGGGCCGGGATGGCAGGATGGCCCGAGTGAAGGCAGACGGCCGAGGCCCTGCCACGGGAATGGCCTGTCTCCTCCGGCCACCGCGGCCGTGCAGAGACCAGAGGCGAGGCTGGTGTGTAGAACATGGACACTGGGGGACAGGCAGGTGGAGGGCAGGTCCGTGCGAAGGGACAGGGCAGAAAGAGAGCAGGACCCGGATGTGGGTGGGCAGGGGCAGGTGGGAGGGTCTCCAGGAGCCACTGACCGGACGGCCTCAGAACCCGGGTCAGCGTGGACCCTGCTGCGGGCGGGACCCCAGGGCTCCATGGGGTGCGAGGGACTGACTCACTGCCTGAGCCACTGAGCCACGCAGGACCCGACACCTGGCCTCCCGGACGCCGCGGCCGCGTGGAAAGACAGCCTGAACACATCTGCTTGTCCCTCCCAGCTCTTCCCTGTGGTCGAGGAACTCATGCTGCGGCCCCTTTGGGAATCCAGAGACCGTTACGAGGAACTGAAACAAAGAGATGACTCCTTGAAAGAGGTAAAGCGAGCCGGGCAGGAAACGCGGTCCTCCCTGGGGACGGGCCGAGCCGGGCACCCCTGCAGGGGCCGCTGTGGACTCATTTCCACCACCACCCCCCGAAGTCCAGACCCAGGCAAACCGGGGAGCATCTACTCTCAGCGAAACCAAACGGCCCCCGATGGCCCGCGCCCCCCGGAGGGGCCACGTCGTCCCCAAAACCTGTGCTGCAATCGGGTGGGCCAGGGCGTCGCGGCATCTCAGACCCCTTCGGAGCCGCGCCCTGGCCCCTTGCGGGTCCCCGTCCTCCAGCCCTGGGGCTGGCCTTACTGAGCGAGAGGGTGGTGGAAGGAGGCGCTCCCCGCGGCACAGGAAAAGCATCCTGGAGCTCTCACACACGGCGGCTCGGCCCCCTCGGGGTCGGGGAGACGGGGCGTGGCCCCAGGTCGCTGTCAGGACGGGACCGTTCGCAGGGAAGGTCCAGCTCACGTGGGCAGAACCGGCACAGACGCTTTCTGCAAAGCGTGCGAGTGGGCTGACCGCCCCAGGGCCTCCGCGTGCGCACGTCTCTGCTTCGGGGACCCCCGCGGGCCTCCCCTGCGTGACGTCCAGCCACCAGGGTGTGCCTCCCCTCCGCAACCCCCCCCCCCCCCGCCTCCTCTCCAGTGTCCCTGCTGCCTCTCGCTTTGTCCTGGTCTGGCCTCCATCAGCGTCACGCACCCCGTCCCATGCCGTCCCCCGCTCACTTCAGTCGGGGCTCCCTGGTCATGGCGTCCCCCCACCTTGCCGCCGGGAACCCCCGAGCCCCACTGAGCGCTGAGCGGTTTCCCAGGCGCCCCGTGTTGCCCTCGCCACCCCCCGAACTGCTCTATGTGTGACGCTGGGCATGTGTCAGTGCCTACTGGTCGATGGGCGTCCCACGACTGGCCTCTCTAGAGGGATCCCTCCACTACAAGGTCCCCGAGAGGTCCTGAGACTCCAGAGGCTAAGAGCAAATGGTACAGAGAGCGATGTCAGAGCAGGTGTGCCCGGCGGGGCCCCGGCAGGATCGCTAAAGCACACTCCAGCCGTCGCTATGAAGGTCCCAGGCCCCGCCGCCCAGTGGGGGCCCCCGGGACCTCCAGGATGCTTCCCTACCCCCAGAAAGGACAGACCCCCCCCCCAGAAGAGAAAGGGTGGACGGGCTCCATGCTCCCTTCCGCCAGGCCACCGGGCTCGGCAGACACCGTGAGTGCATTGTCCAAGCTCCGGACGCTGGCCGAGAAAGGGAGGCCTCCCACAGCTAGGGAGGTGGCTCGCTCGCAGAGCTGTTTCTGCGACGTGCACCTGCGTGTGTTTCGGCACACCGTGGCCGAGGACCTATGCCTCAGTTACACACCTTGGCGTCTCAGTCAACAGGAAGCACTTTAGCAGACAGTCAGGTCCTCACGGTCTCCTGGGACCTGATCGTTGCCTTCTGTATACCTGTCCCGGTTACAGAGGGAGACGGAGAGCTTGACGGCGGGGGGCACCGACACGTCGTCGTCGTCGAGAGAGAAAAGCAGAGATGTGAGAAACAGAGAAGAGGGTGCTATTCTGAATTGACATCTCGATGCACGTGGTAACTCAGAGCCTAAAACGGGGCGGCACTGAAAGTCTCTGGGAGGGAGGAAGGAAAGAAGGTGGGGGCAGAAATCTGAAAGACAGATGGGTTTTTTCAAGTTTTTGGAACGTTTTGTATTTATTTTGAAAGTGAGAGAGGGCGTGCGCACAAGCAGGGGCGGGGCAGAGAGAGAAGGAGACAGAGACTCCCAAGCAGGCTCAACGCTGCCAGCATGGAGCCCGATGCAGGGCTCGAACTCACGAACCGTGAGATCACGACCTGAGCCGAAATCAAGAGTCGGACGCTTAACCGACTGAGCCACCCGGGCGCCCCTGAAAGACGGATGGTTTTTCAGTAAAGTGAGACTTTTATTCGTGGCCTATAATTCTTAGAATTAGGCTCTGAAAGAAGGGGGGATCACGCTTGGGTTGATAGCCAAAGATCGGTAATTAGCCTATGTGCCGCTTATAAGGAAAAGCACGTTTTAAAATCTTTCCAAACATAAAGCATTTGCGTCTGTCGCCGTGAGCGTTTTCCTGTGCCCCTGATGCAAGCTGTTCGTTTAGTCCATGTCGAAGGGAAACCAAGCTCATTCGGCCTCTGCGTGGTAAGGTCGTGGCACACGCACGTCTGAAGGACCCCTGGAGAGATTCTCGGGACAAAGCTTTCCAGGGCACGGGGTGTGGGAACCTGTGTCTTGTTTGGTGCAGAGGGGCAGTGGCCGGCTCTGGCGTCCGAGAAACTGAGCGCAGCCAAGTACAAGCTGAGAGACCCACACAGGCGTCGCAGCCTCTCTGAGCCTCGGAGCCCTCATCTCCAGCCTCGAGATAATCACACCATTATTACCCCTTCCATGAGCAACAGGCCGGTCCATCCGAAGCGCTCGGGAAACACTGGCTTTGCGTGTTTCGGTCACACCCTATTTTTTAGTGGTTCAGGAGAAGGATCAAAATCGTTTCATTTGGCCTAAATGTGCTCAGCCGTGTGTCCAGTCCTTAAACATCCCGTGCGTCCTCCCGTGACGATGTTGATTGTGTTGATTGTGGGGGGTTTCAGCCCCCACGAAAACAAACCAGTAGGTCTTTTCCCTCTTCCGAGCAGACGGAGCCTGGAGGAGGCAGGACGATGCGGGCTGTGGTTCTGGACCAGGCTGGCCGAGCCTCGCGAGCCGTCCGCGCGGGGGAGAAGTTCGTTCCGAGCGCCTGACTCCACGAGACCACGTTTTCTAAGAACTGTTTTGTTCACTGATACAAAAAAAAAAAAAAAAAAAAAAAAGGAAAACGGAATTCATGATGCTGTACAGAATTTTTATTTTTAAACTGTCTTTTAAATAATATATTCTTATACAGAAACGGGTACTGTACTTTTTCTTTGTAGTGTTGTGTATCCGGGGGCTGCGTCTGGCAGTCCCCAGAGCCCCCGAGCTCTCACGGGGGGACAGGAACTGTGCTTTGCTCGCAGATGTGTCTGCGCGGTGTGATGTGACACTCCCTCCCGTGTAAATTCAGAATTAAATGCCAGGCGGTGCCCGGAGCACAAGGACGTGCGCGTGTCCTGTTTGTGAGCAGCGAGGGGGCGTTGGTGGCTGTGGGGAGGTGGGAACGTGCCACTTCAGTCAGCAGACTGTGCACAGCACGTCTCAGGGGAGGACAGCTGTCCCTTCTTCCTGCCTTTGCTTTTGGGACCAGCACTGGGCACTGGGGACAATCTGGGGGGGCCCCGTGCCCATAAAGGGAGACCCGACCCCGGCTGGTGGGCGGTCACGCTCTCCCTCGGCCCCGCTGGGTGCATTTAGACCCCGTGACGCTTCCCAGGGCCACTGGCTCCTTCCCTGCACCCCCTCGGGACAGAAGAGGCTCCTCTCGGATGAACTGACCCATCAGGCCGCCCACCTAATCTGAGCTCTGCGGACATTTCACCCGCTGCCGAGGAGTCTCCTCGGAGCACGCCTTGGTGAACTCCAGAATATTGCTTTCCACCTCTGAATAATTCATCTGTGGGCTGTGACATTTTCCGTCACTTCTCAAATCCAGTTCCGTATGAACAGCGACCCCGGTTCTATTGCTCTTCGCAGTTCTGTTTTTCATGTTAATCCCGCTAAAGCCCGTGCACGTGGCCACGACACGCGCAAACCCAGCAGGTGTCCCCGATGCAGGTCTCCCCCATGCCTGCGTGGCGCCCTGCACTGAAGTCCGTGACCCGCTCCTCCCAGCGAGCCAGCCTCTGACAAGTGCCCCCCACCTGCCCGCCCGTGAGCCTGGCTTCTGGCCAGTTCCCTCCACGCTCCCACCCCCGTGAGCCAGCCTCTACCCAGTTCCTTCACCTGCTCCCCCAGAGGGGCAGCCTTCTGGCCACCTGCTAACTTGTGCTCCACACCCACTTGCCACACTCTGCCCCCTTGTCAAAGTTTACACAGCGACCTCTGAGTTCAACACTTGGGCACACACACACACACACACACACACACAGGTCCACACGCGTCTGCGTGAGCATACCCGTGCCGACATACAGAGAAGCACGTCCACACACGCTCACACTTGCATAAACAGGTGCACAGGGCTGCACACGTGCGCTTGCCCACCGGGTTGTACGTAGACACGTGCCGATGCACGCCCACGCACACAAATACACAACACGCTCGCGTGCACGAATCCACATAATCACACGGACGGCTGCAGACACACACACGTATACACACTCCTGCACACTTTGTCTGCATCACGGGGTTGCGGTCCCACCAAGTCCTGGAACGAGGAAATCCACAACTAGGAGGGGCCTGTAAGGAGAGGACGTCGGTGACAGTCCCCCTCCTTGTGGGACAGCCTGGGTTCCTAGCGGAAAGCTTAGACATGGGGACAAGAGCATCAGCATCAGCGTGAAGGAGAAAACGTTCAGAGCCGCACTGCCCATTAGAGACACGCGGCGCCCGGCGCGGTCCAGACGTGACACGGGCGGCCGCCCCCACGGCCCCACACATGGCACATGGCAGCAAGACACCGGCACCTTCCTGCAAACCCCCTACGCCCCCATCACCCTGTGTTCACACGAGGGGACAAGAACACGCTGTTTTGCATTGTCTCCCTCTCCCAACTCTGTAGCGATTCAGGGAATGATGCGTGGGGTCAAACCCCGGCTCCGACGGACCCCCACCCCCAAACCCCACTCCCAAACGTCCTGCCCGAGCCGGGCCCTGACGAGGCGCTGGGCAGGCGGCTCCCGGCGCACCCCTTCTCCCCCTGCTGAGGACACAGCAGCCTCTTGTGGCCCCAGCGCTGAGCCCGGGGGGAAGGAGACAGGAAAGGAGGCGCGTCCGTCACTCCCACCCGGGATGGTGACCCCGGGCCCGACGCCCCCACACCGCCTGTCTCTCTGCCTGTCGCGTGTCGGACCACGGGTACCGTCTGCGGCTTCCTCTGCTTGTACTGTCCAAGGCCAGCGGGACAGTCCTCGAGTGCTGGCATCTTTAGCCAAATCGCATCGTGAAACCAGTTCCACTGGTGGAACGGATGGACATTAAACGAATGAACATTAAACACGCAAAATACCTCATCTCGGCCGAACAGCCGTGGGCGGGAACCGCTGGCTTCCGGTTGCCTCTGCCCCACGTGGCCAGCCGGGTGCCACAAGGCCACCCGCCACGTCCCCCGCAGGAGACGCCCTATCCGGCTCGGGCTCCAAGGGCAGCTGCGGCGCCAGGCCCCGCCGCCCCCACCCCGGGAAGGGCCGAAGAGGGTCAGTGAGTCGGGCACGTGTTCCAGACGAGAGGCTTTGCTCTGGCTCCCTGCTCTCCCAGTATCACCGCTGGGGAGTTTGTAAAGTTCAAATCAAAAGAATTCAACTGTGATTTCTCTAAGGGGCGGATAAAACTGTCGCTCTGGATTTTGGGGGGCCATTCTCTGTCAGGAGCCCAGAGGAGCTGCATGAGGCTGCTGGGGACTCACAGTGAACCCACGCAGGGTCCCCACGTTCCCCCAGGCTCGCCGTCAGCCTGCGTCCAGCCGGGCGATCGACGGAGTGAGCCCGGCAAAGATCGGACAGTGTGCCAGAGGCCCCGCAGCAAGGACGGGAGGGGGGCTTGTGAGCTTGGGGTGTGCGGCGAGGGCCGCCAGGTGGACGGCGAGCCTGGGGCAAGGTGGGTCCCGGGCCGCGGGCCTCCTGGAGTGTGGCTGTGCAGAAGGGCCACACAGGGAGGCCGGAGGCCGGTGAGGGAGATACCCCGCGCCATCCAGGAAGAGAGGGAGGTGGGGTCTGAGGGGCTGTGCAGGCCCTAGGCCCAGCTGGACTTGGTGAGAACAAGGGGGGCGATGCCCACCCGGGGTCCCCACCGAGTGGGCTTGACCAGCCGGTGACTGGGCCCATCTGGGCCCCAGCCCTTCCCTGGCTCGGATGCCCGGCTTCCGGTTCAGGTGACTGGAATGGTTTAGAAAGGCAGACGCCAACACAAAATGATCTCCCAGGACCCCACCCACGTTGGGGGCAGCCCTGGTGATGTACACGTTACGAACTCAGACATCTGCCAACTGATGAGCGAGTCTGCGTTCGTTTGTGGTCGCTGACCGAGAAATCGTGTAAGGGGAAAAAACAGACAGCAAAATGTGTGTGTGTGTGTGTGTGTGTGTGTGTGTGTGTGCGTGTGGTGGGGTCAAGGATACTCAGCTCTTTGGGGGCTCAGCTCTTTGGGGATCCGAGGAAGGCAGAGGGCAGGTACCCGTGAGGCGGGAGAACGGCAGACTCAGAGTCCAGTGCAGACACAGGAAGGGACAGCAGGGTCTCTGCGGGAGGACCGGGGCACCGGGCGCAGGGGGACTCACAGGGGACGGCTGACAGCAAGGGGTTAGGAGGAGAGGTTGACAGGAAGGTACAGACCCAGGAGGACAAAGTGTGACCATCTGCCCGGGGAAAGCTCAAACCTCTGGCTACAAATGGGAAGCGTATCAGTCAGCTCTTGCTGCATAACAAACCACCCTGAAACTTAGGGACTGGAAACCACATTGCTTTTCACTCCTTGTGGTTCTGGGGGTTGAGGGGCAGGATTTGTGGTCTGGCCTTGCTCAGCTGGAGCCGGTGGGTCTAAAGGGCCTTGGCCACATGTCTGTGGAGTTCCAGCCCCGGGCTGTGTCGCTGTGCAGCAGGCCAACGTGGTTCATCCTCAGGGTGGCAAAGTGATCCCAGTGGCAAGAGCGCCTAAGCCCCAGTGCCCGGGCACTTTTCACGCCTTGCCACACACACGGCTGTTACGTTACGTCCGTCTGGCCACAGCAAGTCACGTGGTCAAGCTCGGGTGTAAGGGGGGCAGGGACAGACTCCACTTCACAACAGAGGGACACACGGTTTGCCATCTACCAGAGTGAGGAGGCCCGTGGTCTAAGCACACAACTGGCACCCACGCCCCAGTTTTAGCCTCTTCTGCCCGCTCCGTTTCGGGAGTGACGGCTCCCCGCGGACCCCGTGTCACTGAAAAGTTACCTCGGCATCCCGATGCTGCGATCGTTGGACTCCCACTGAAAGGGTGTGGCTTGGAAGCTCTTGAACACTTCCGTGTGGTCCTTGGAGGACTTCCCAGACGTGCCGTGTGGTCTCCACTCGGTTTTCCCACCAGCTCTGGCCGCCGTCTGTTCCGACCACACGAAGTCGGGGACAGCATCACGCCCCACTTTCAGGGCCACGTGCCGCAGCCCAAAGGGGGTTTTCCTGCCCCTGGCATTGTTTCGTTTCACCAGATTCTCTGCACGGGACTCACTGCACCAAGGCATCAGAGGTACCTAATAAAACCTAAAGAATTTTTAACCATTAACCTTGCAGCAAAAGCATCTAATGAAGGGACTCTAACAACGAGTGCAACCTTTTACTCTGAGCCCCCAAGAGCTCACGGAAGGTGTCACATTTGGTCTTTCAAGTGATGGGAGAGCAGGAACGCTCAATTTTCTGAGACATTCAGAGGAGGCTGGGGTTTCCAGGCAACTCTGAGGAAGGTGGGACCAGCGTCTGACGAGTGGAGGAGACTGCAGATAGGCCAGGGCACGCCCACAGGGCGCCACCAGCCAAGGCCGGAGCCAACGACTGTGTGTTTCGAGGACACTTCACGTCGTTGAAAAATACTCATTAGGTGATGCCAGACCGGGCAAAGTGGATGCAAAATGGTTTGTACGGTCTGATCCCGATTTTGCTGAAGAAAAGTGTTAACAACGGCTATATTACAGTAGGTTGTTTCTGCGTAAAATGAAAACCGATGTTTTTCCAGCTTATTTTCCTCATCTTTTACAAAGAAAACGTATCATTTTTCAATCAGAAGATACAACCGCGAGCAATACTATATTTGGATGGGGTAGCTTGGCCAGTGGCCTGAGGCTCAGAGGTCGGACCAGGTCGCAGCCCAGAGGATGTAAATGCTGGAGCCCAGCGCCTGTGCGCGGAGCCTGGTCCAGGCGAAGAGGACGCGTCTCCGCGCCGCCAATCAGGTGGTAAGATTTTTCTTTCTGCTTATTGTCCGAGAAACGCCACCCCCGGAACGGTAAAGGCAGCCCCGGCTAGGGGCGCTCAGC